TAAAGTCAGAATTTCTTTGAAGCCTCAGGTTTAATCTTGAGAGCTTGTTTGGAGGTTCTAGCAGGGGAGCACAGCTACTCGTATACCCTTGACCGAAGAACGGTCCTCTCCTCTATCGGGGAAGGTCGTCCTCTTCGACCGAGCGCGCAGCTTCGGGAGGGACGCACATGGAGCGGTGAGGGAGGAAGGGGACACCCGCCTAGCCAGCCAGATCAGCCGAATCAACCCTGGTGATCAATGGGGTGACAGATGTCGCAGCCAGATCGCCCTCACATCCAGGTTTAATCTTAATTACATGCACACATTTTACATTCTACTCCTTAAATATCTTTTTTTTTTTATTTTTTAAGATTTATTTATTTATTCAAGAGAGAGAATACACATGCATGCATGAGTTGGGGAGGGGCACAGGGAGAGAATCCTCAAGCAGACTCGTGGCTAAGTGTGGAGCCCCAGGTGGGCTGAGTCCCACAAACCAGAAATAGGGTTGGTGGCAACCCCTACCAGAACTTTCCAGTTGTACATTGATTTGCTTTCAGGTAGGTGATTGATGCAGCTGCTGCCAAGCCTATAATGGGGTCTCAGTGGGCCTCAGGTGTTTGGGCACTGATGGAGTTTGGAGGGACAAGAGTTGGACACTCAACCAACTGAGACACATATGTACCCCAATGTTTTAAAAAGATAACATCTATAAGTAAAAGTGATGCTCCAAGATACTAAATCAAGGGACACCTGGGTGGCTCAGTCACTTAAGCATCTGTCTTAAGTTCAAGTCATGATCCTAGGGTCTTGGGATAGAGTCCCACATTGGGCTCCTTGCTCAGCAGGGAGCCTGCTTCTCCCTCTGTCTACCACTCCCCCTGCTTGTGCACTTCCTCTCTCTCTCTCTCTCTCTCTGACAAACAAATAAAATCTTTTAAAAAAGATACTAAATCAAATTCATCCCACAGCTCTCTGTACCTCCTAAAATCTGCAATATACACCTACAGGAACTAGGACTTCAGTTTTTAAGACACTGGCTGTGAATTCTATTGAGCCACACAACACAAACCCTCATGACAGACTGTGAAGCATTATAGGGTCCAAGCAGCATAAACTAGAAAACTGAGGTCCACTGAGGGGAAGAGATTTGCCTCTGAGAAAATCCTCACTAATTACTAGGAGCATCTGAATGTAACAAAGAACCCTCTTTTGTCTCTCTTCTGCATGTGAAGGTGGCCTACATCTGAGGTCTATGGAGGGAAGGGGCAATTAGGTCAGTTCCAGAGCCCATGCAGAATCCCCCATGCATCTGAGTGAAGCAACTAGTGAGGAAATGAGCCACTTCAGAAGTCCAGAGCAGGATTGGAAAGCAAGGCTGGAGCCTCAAAAGGAAAACTGTGTGAAAAATTACATGCAAACTCCATCAGTGCCCAAACACCTGAGGCCCACTGAGACCCCATTACAGGCTTGGCAGCAGCTGCATCAATTACCTACCTAAAAGCAAATCAATGTACAACTGGAAAGTTCTGGTAGGGGTTGCCACCAACCCTGTTTCTGCTACTCTACACTGCCCGTGTTCGAGTGGCCACCTGATCTACAGCACAGAACAAACTCAGCTAGGATTCTAAGTTTAGAGACAAATTTCCTCCACTCAGAATAGGAACAGGCAAAGAGAGGAGAGGTCACAGAGGACACAGCTGACAAAAGGCACTGGGAAAACCACAAATTAAATATGCCTCGATTCAAGCCACTATACCACTTCCTAGCTATCTAACCTTAAACAGACCTTTTCCCCCTGTAGGCTCAATCCTTCACCTAAGATAGAGTTATTACTATTATAATAATAGATCTTAGTTATTTTATAGAATAAAAATGGAAGAAAAGAAGAAAGGTTATTGCCTTCAATGCAGAATCCACAAATCATAAAGACTTTACCAAGCCAGAAAAGCTTCCTGATTTAATGGCTCCCTTATCTGTACCTCCAGGGCAATTTCTACTACCTATTTAGCCCTTAATAAGAACAACAAACATTTGAGTGTCTGCTATACACGAGACACTTTACTTATTTGAGGATTAAATAAGACCACAAAATCTCTGAAATTAGTTTGATTACCATTTCACTAAGAAGATTTAAATCCCAAGAGGCTAAATGAGACATCCAAGATCACACAGCTAAATAGGACAGAATTTGAACCCAAGGCTGACACTAAATCCCATACTTTAAACACTGTACATCACTTCTCTTTTTTTTAAAGATTTAATTTATTTATTTGACAGACAAATATCACAAGTAGGCAGAGAGAGAGAGAGAAAGAGGGGGAAGCAGGCTCCCCGCTGAGCAGAAAGCCCGATGCAGGGCTCGATCCCAGGACCCCGAGATCATGACCTGAGCTGAAGGCAGAGGCTTTAACCCAGTGAGCCACCCAGGTGCCCCTGTACATCACTTCTATACACAACCTGAACTTCAAGGGTGTTTTATTCTATGTGGGAAGAGAGCGGTATTGCATTTACTTGTCTCTGCTTCTATAGGTACAGACAGGACAGAGATGGTATTTAACAGTCTAGAGATTTCACCTTTCTTGCGGAGTTCAGTATCTTGAAGGGAAGAGGCAGGTAGAGTTAGAGCCCCTGGCTGGGGTGGAGCCAGGCAAGGGGTTCTCAAAAATGTAACTCATGGTGGTCACACTGCCCGTTAGTGGCACCTAGGTAACCAAGAGCCCTCTGAAGAACCTCAGGCTTTAGAAGTGGTGGTAAGTGCAGGATTGCTGTAGCAAAACATGTTCTCTCCATTCCCTAGTTGTGCACGCACTCACAAAGGTAAACGGAGAAACTGTAGGCCACACTTCCCTTTCCCACCAGGTCTTGTGTGTCCTCGAGCTATGACTTCCCATTGTTGCCTGTTATTTATTACTAATGCCAAAGAGGGTGCTTTCTTTCCAGTCAGCTTCCTCTCTGGTCATTGGCCAGAGTTCCAGGGTGGCCCCAGAGCTTTTGTCAATTCCTTCCAAGGAGTCCAGCTCCTTCCTCCTAGGCCCCAATTCCACCAGGAGGGCCTCCCTGAATAATGGATCTCAAAGGCCAGACAGAATGGACTTCTCTTATGACTCACTCATTAAGTTAGAGAGAGGGAAAAGATAATATTCCCCAACAGCATGTGAACACATATATCTGTGGATTCCCATCCAGATCTGACTTGGCCCTGACAGTGCCAGATTGTCAACTCCTTGTTCGAGTTCAAATCTTTTTCCCTTTTTCACCCATGGAGTCCCAGATCTTCCCAATCTTACCCACAGAACATTACTGCTCCCTCCTTCCTATGAAAGCCCCTCAGAAATATCAAGACAGAAAACACATCTTCTCTTAAGTCTTCTAGACCCAAACAGCCTCATTTACCCAGGCAGAATATTATAGTGGGAAAACTATAGTTTTGCAGAGTTGTATTTGAAACTCCATATTATAACTTACTAACTTATATATATTATAACTTACTAAGTTATAACATATTACAACTTACATAACCTAAAGTATGTTCTTTTACTTGTTAGAGGCAAGATCTTTGCAAGGATTAAAGCACCTAGCCAAGGCTAGTCCATATTAAGTGCTCAATAAATGGTATTTCCCAAAACAACACTGATCTTCCAGATGAGAAGTCATGAACTCACTGGTTTTCTCCCTTTCCTCTCTCCAGCCAGTATGAAAGCTTCAGAGTCTCTCAAATGTTTTGTTTGGGAAGTAGCTGCTTTCACAACTAGCATACCATCTGTCCAGGACTCCCTACCATCTGGGCTTCATACAGAACAACACCCACAGTACACAAATCAAACCAACACGAACAAAGAATTACCATGCCTTGTGGCTTTTTGAAGTTAATAAGCCTCTTTGTTCAAGAATTTTTCTGCCCTAGGTTCTAAATGATGCCTTCCTCACCCTCCCTCCAGTTACCTCCCTCCAATGAAATTGAACAAAGCCCCAGTGTTGAAGGCAGGGAATGGAATCATTTGGCTTGAGAAGGGTAATGTGTAGAACAAGGGGTCTGGGAAGGAGTCTAAGAAGAGGCTGAAGGAGCCTTTCTTCCTTTCCCTCCACAGCTCTGGTAAGTTCTTAGACAACAAAGGGACTCAGAGGGCAAAGGAAAAAGAAGGCCTAGAAAATCCAACAAGGTAACATATCCTAGACAATATCAGACCCCCACTCACCAGAAACTGGTAGGCAAATAGGATAATGACCCACCTGAAGGGATGCAAACCCCATTTTGCTGGTCACAGACAGCACGTTCCCTTGGCCCCTGGAAAGTCTTTGAATGCTGAAAGATTCTGTGGCCCCCCACCCAGGTATTAGATTATATATAGCATATCCCTTCTGCTAATAGTGACAGCCCATGAAGGGACATCCCTTGCATTGGAGATGGGAATGACACATCAGCATTATTTCCATGGCACGAGTGCAAGGTATGAAGTACCCTCATAATGCATTTAGCACTCCCAGTGGTGTCCTAAGTCCCAATATTCTTCTGAAGGAAATGTACATAGAGGACAATACCTCAGAGAGAATAAGTTTGTTTCCTTCTACCAGGAAGAAAACAAAAAAGTGACAGAGGTCACGGGGTACAGTGACTAGAATGCAGCATTGAAATCCCAGCCAGATACTGGATAGATACACTAAGTTATTTAATTTCTGAGTCTCATTATTAAAATGGGGAAGAGATCACTTGCATCTTTCAGAGTTGAGAGGAAGGTTCCATGTGTTAATATTTTTAGAGCATGTAACACAGAGTCATACTCTGCTTGCTTCTCTTTTCTACCATGTTCAGGACCAAGGATAGGATTAATTGGAGCCATCTGAGGTGCAGGTGGCCAAAGTTAAACTCTGCCTCCTTTGTTATTAAGGCGGGGGTCAGCCTTTGTTTGGAACTATCTTGGAGGAGCATGTAGGAGAAAAGATTCCCAAGAAGTGGGCATTGTGGAGGGAACTACTGGGAGAAGTAGAAGAAGCTAAGAAACAAATAGTCCATCCCTTACCTGGTCAAACAGCTGTTTGCCAGTGGTGTTGGGCTGAATGGCAAACTCCAGCTCTGCATCCATGGTGGTCACACGCACATTGATCTAGGATGAGATCAAAGAAGGCAAGTTAGTTGTCTGGCTCTGAGCTTAGCAGAGCATGGGACAGGTGTATTGTTCAACCACAGAAGAAGGAACTAGGGTTCTAAGAATCTGAGCAACTTAGATATTGGTGGGAAGGAAGGGAGAATACTGAAATAAACAAAGAATAACTAGGCCCTGGCTCCCAACCAGCTTATGAAGACAAAAAACATAGTCAAAGAGCAATGCTTACCAAGGGGCAAACACATAAATGCAAATCAGCCTACTTTCAAGAGGAAGCAAGTGCTGACTGTACTTCTTCCAGGAAGCCTTCTCCACCTACACCAGCCAGCTCTAGACCCACAGCATTCTCTTCCCACCTCTGATCCACAGCCTGGATTATCTACAGTACTTGTCTTTGCAGACACAAGTTAAGGGGAAGATAAAGAATATTGGGTCCCAAGCCTAGCACTGCAACTCTCTCAATCTACAACCTTGGATAAGTCTTACCTCTTTCCTGGGCCCTAGTTCACCTCATCTGTACAACAATAGTAATGCAGGGGTGAGGGTGTCAATTACACTAGGTGATGACCATTTCAATGCTGGTGTCTATGGTTCTATATACTGACTTGCACTGTTACTACATCTTGCTTTTATGTCTCATTGGTCTCTCTAAGCACAAAAGAGAGAAGGGGCCTTACCAAAGGTGGGTGTGGGTGGCACAGAGATGCTACAAAAGCCAAGTCAGCAGAGGGGAAAAGGAATGGGACAGGCCCCAGTGAAAATAATAGGTAGCCACACACACAATTTTATAACCACTGGAAAAAGTACCACCTGCTTTTTTTTTTAAGATTTTATTTATTTATTTGAGAGAGAGAGAGAGAGAGATCTCAGGTAGATAGAGAAGCAGAAACTTAACCCACTGAGCCACCCAAGCACCCTGAAAAGTACTGTCTGCTTTTACAAATCGATCCCCTAGCTGATATTGATAGCTGAAATTTCATCAATAGAGATTTGTTCTTTTGGCTGAAAACTTGGTAGTATTGGTAGCAGTAGGAGCAATATGCAGTAGTTTTCATGTTTGGAGACTTGCTACTCACTAGGTGATTCATGTGCACCATCCCATTTAATATCAACAATCACCTTGTGAAGTAGATAAAGTTATCTCCACATTGGGAATGAAGAAATAAATATTTGTCTAAAGTCATATCATTAGTAAAGCAGAAGACAGGGTTTGAATTCAGATCTAAGTCCAAACGTCAATTTAAAACAATACACTAAAACTTTTATACATCAAAGTGCAAAATATTCCCCATGAGAGGAAATTAAATATTAATTATTTAAATTGTGGGACATTTTTCATAAGTACTCTATATAGTATGGCCCCAAACTGGCTTGTTATATAAGGTCATATAAAATATTTTGAAGATTGGGTGCCTGGGTGGCTCAGTGGGTTAGGCTCAGGTCATGATCTCGGGGTCCTGAGATTGAGCCCCATATCAGGCTCTCTGCTCAGCAGGGAGCCTCCTTCCCCTTCTTTCTCTGCCTGCCTCTCTGCCTGCCTCTGTCTACTTGTGATCTCTCCCTCTCTGTCAAATAAACAAATAAAATCTTTTAAAAAATATTTTAAAGACTATTTCATGCCCAGGGAAAATACTTCAGTAATATTAAACAAGGAAGGATAAGCAACAAGACTACATGAGCTCAATTCTATAAACAGTATGTACAGAGAGATAATTATTGGAATAATGCCCAAGTACTAGTCAGGCTTGGTTTTAGGGTGGTTATGAATGTGTTCTCCCTTCTTTGAATTAAAAAAAGAAAACGAATCTACATTTTCTAAGATGCTTGTATACTACTTACACTATTGGTTGAGACTAAAAATAGAATAAATAAAAAATGCAAATCCCCATGGAGTAGGTAAGACATAAACCTAATCAGTCTTTGACATCTCTCGGTCTTTCCTGAGCGTAGGGGTCAGTTAGCGGGGAAGAGGGGGCCAAATACCATTTTGCCAGCTGAACAATTCTGATGAGGACCAGGCCTGAGGAACAAATTTGTAAATAAATATCACTAGGGAATCAGGGAGGAAATCTATTTCAAGATAGACAATGGGACAGGAAAGGCCCTGAAGGCAGGAACAAGTAAGGCAAATTACCCCAGAGGGGGACAACAGGCAAGATTAGCCACCTTGACTTGGTGTTATCCTAGGCTTCCTGCCAATCCAGTAACCCTGTAGAATGGGCCCTCATAAGGTAGTGAGAATGAAGCCCAATGGGCTGGAATTTGGCCTCAACATCTAGCCTCATATCACCCTTGAGCTGAGTTAAGGGAGACCTCAAAACACCAATGACTGAGGAGGTAGGAAAAAGTGGAAAAGAGCCAGTAAGGCTTTTAATACACTGGACTTCATTATCATCTCAAGGTTTCTGTCTTACTTTGAGTTACCTCTCCAGTACCCAAGACTCAATAGGTACTCAGAAGATGGTTAAATGAGCAGTTCTAAACATGGGAATTTAAGAAATACAGAGATCTAGCATAGTCTAAAGATCCAGAGGTAGGAAGATTTTATATCTTATCTTTTTACTGTGCCATGGACCCTTTTGGGCAGTCTGATAAAGTCTATGGACCAACCCCCTTTCAGAATATATGTGAATGCATGAAATAAAGTGATACAAAGAAACCAATTATATTGAAATAGTTATAAAAGTGTGTGCTTTTTATGACATTAAGTAATTGCCTAGCACTGTATCTTAGTAGTTATTATTACTGTAATTTTAACATTATGTTGAGCATAGAAATATTTTGAGAAATCTATAATACAGAGAATTGAGTAACGTATTGAATTGTCAAATCACTATGTTGTATACTTGAAACTAATATAACACTGTGTACCAATTATACTTTAATAATACATTTTTAAGTTAATAAAATAAGAATAAAAGCTCAGCAAAAAATAGTGATATAAAAGTTTCTTAGATTTCCATTAGTGACAAAGTCACAGGTACTGCCATTTTTACCACTTCTTTTTTTGCTTGTATTCATTTTTTTTTTCATTTTATTATAAACAGATGTAACTCAGAAACAGCCAAATGGGAAACATGCACAGGACAGGGTAGGCAGGGGTTTGAGAGATACAGAGCTTCCTGCCTTCTCCAGCTGGGCCACCTTCCTAGCACCTCCCTGCTTTTATTAGCTCTGAGGCTCTCCTCATTCTGTCATTTAGGGTTTTTGTTTTTTGTTTTTTTATATTTCACATTTTTTATTAAGTTCAATTAGCCAACATATTAGGGGATTTTTTGAAAAATAAAAAATTATATTTTGTTTATACACCAGCAAGTTGGGCTTGCTCATTAAAAATAATTATGTTGGGGCACCTGGGTGGCTCAGTCAGTTAAGCGTCTGCCTTCAGCTCAGGTCATGATCCCAGAGTCCTGGGATAGAGCCCCACATCAGACTCCCTGCTCAGCAGGAAGTTTGCTTCTCCTTCTCCCACTTCCTCTGTTTGTATTCCCTCTCTCGCTGTCTCTCTCTCTGTGTCAAATAAATAAATAAAATCTTTTAAAATATATGTTTATTAGCAGTTTAATTTTTTTGTCCTTGGTCTGTTTTTCTATTGGGCTGTTCTCTTTATCTATTAAGTAATTAATTATATCTATTATATACTAAGGAAGTTCATATTTGGTCATGGGTTAGACAAATATTTTTGCCCAGTTATTTGTGTTAGATCTTCTAACATTTTTTTCCTATAGTATTTTGTACATAATTAATTTATCATTATTTTCCTTTGTGGATTCTGGGGCTTGTATCTTTCTTTATTTTTTTTATTTATCATATTCAATTAGCCAACATAAATACATCATTAGTTTTTGATGTAGTGTTCAAAGATTCAATAGTTGTATATAACATCCCATGCTCATTACATCACTTGCCCTCCTTAATATCCAACACCAGGCTCACCCATATCCCCACACCCCTCCCCTCTGAAACCCTCATTTTTTTTTTTTCTGGTAGTCCATAGTCTCTCATGGTTGGTCTCCCTCTCTGGTTTCTCCCCCTTCATTTTTCCCTTCCTTCCCCTAATATCCTCCATGCTATTCTTTATGTTCCACATATAAGTGAAACCATATGATAATTCTCTTTCTCTGTTTGACTTATTTTTTTTTTTACTTATTTCACTTAGCATAATCTCCTCCAGTTCCAACCATGTCGATGGAAATGGTGAGTATTTATCCTTTCTGATGGCTGAGTAATAGTCCATTGTATATATGAACCACATCTTCTTTATCCATTCATCTATTGAAGGGCATCTTGGTTCCTTCCACAGTTTGGCTACTATGGATATTGCTGCTATAAACACTGGAGTGCATGTGGCCCTTCTTTTCACTACATCTGTATCTTTGGGGTAAATACCTAGTAGTGCAATTTCACTTATATTCATAATTGAAGGAGGTCTAAATCTCAGTGAGATGTTAGTACAAACAGATATATAATTTTTCTCAATCCACTCTCATATATCTTTCCCACTTCAGTTTATATCCATGGACCCCCTGGAGGCCTAAAAATTCCAAGTTAAGGAGCTCCCTATAAATTTATTTCAATTCACCCAATATTAATGGAACAAAATATTTAAGGAACTATCATTAGAGTAGAGCTCTAGGACCAGTCCTTGACCCCAAGGCACTTACTGAATAATAGGAAAACTATACTATACAAGGAAGACCTTGAGAAATGCCATAGCAGAACAGAAGAAACATTTTGTGGCAATAAAAAAACCACAGTTCAAAATGATATTTGCATTGGTCCACAAGGATAAGCTGTATTAAAGAAAGAGAGAGAGAGAGAGAGAGAGAGAGAGAGAGAAATAAATAAATAAATAAATATAGAAAGATTGTGGGATGGGGGGAAGAACATCCAAATGTCCCAGGTAGAGAAATCAATACGTGCAATGGCCCAGAATGAGACAGGGATGGAGATGGCCCATTTAGAAGCAGATCTACTTCACAGTGAATGTGGACTACACA